AGTGAGTGAGGCAGTGAGTGAGGCAGTGAGTGAGGCAGTGAGTGAGGCAGTGAGTGAGGCAGTGAGTGAGGCAGTGAGTGAGGCAGTGAGTGAGGCAGTGAGTGAGTGAGTGAGTGAGTGAGCGAGTGACGAGTGCGAGCGCGAGTGAGAGTGGGAGAGTGGGTGTGAGTGCGAGTGTGAGTGGGAGAGTGAGTGTGAGTGCGAGTGTGAGTGGAGAGTGGGAGAGTGAGTGTGAGTGCGAGTGTGAGTGGAGAGTGGGAGAGTGAGAGAGTGAGCATCTGAGAGCACGAAGTATTACGCCTGCCACGAAATTTGCACTTCGAGGTTCACCATGCGCTGTGCCTGCCACGAAATCTGCACTTCGAGGTTCACAAAGCGCTGTGCCTGCCACGAAATCTGCACTTTGAGGTTCACCAAGCGCTGTGCGTGTCACGAAATCTGCACATCGAGGGTCACCAAGCACCCGCCACGAAATCTGCACTTCGAGGTTCACCAAGCGCTGTGCCTGCCAGGAAATCTGCACTTCGAGGCTCACCAAGCGCTGCACCTGCCACGAAAACTGCTTTTCGAAGTAATACAGCTCCGATCCCTTGCACCTGTCACGAAAAGTGACCGCCATGAACGAAAACGCGCGCGGCACCACAACGAGAGCGCAGTCGCGACAAGCACACTCCAGCCACCCAGATTCTGCGAGCCTGCGCAGTCGAAATGCACATTGACGATGCCGAGAGGCATGAATGTGCTGTAAATAGCAGCGAGTTAGCCGTTCACGCCCGCGCGCTTCAGCGATCTAAGCATCAGCTTCCTTTCCCTTACCGTAAGAACCCCTCAGTGTGCCCACACTGTTTGGGGAAATATATACGGTTGCTGTACTGACCGATCCTACAAGTGTCTGCACATCTTGGTCCAAGACCTCCCATTCTGTCCAAAGGATGCTTGAAGTCAATCTTTGGACAGTTGATGAACATGCAATTCACTTTGACCTCGGAAAGACGGGCTTGAGAAAAAGTCCACGCGTGCACCGCAAGAATCTGCCTGGATGCGCTTCGATATATACTGCACCATGGCAGGGCTGAACTCTCCACGCACCTGGCTAGATAGAAGCTGCACAGAGTTGTGCAACTGTATAAAGGAGCTCCTAGGAACAAAGGGCATCGCTACTAGGAGCAAGGACGCTACT